TACTAGCTCCTATCGAGAGTACAAATTACCATATACTATTTTGACAAAGATTGTTCAAGTCTATCCGATCCAACAATTCCCAACGTTTAATAATAATAAAAGAAAACATTTTATTAATTCATAATCATTATTTTGCTAGGAACCACTTCTGTCCTCTTGAAAAAGCACGCAGTCTAAACTAAATAAATAAAAAATCTATCATTCTAATGTTTATCCATCCTAAAACTAGATCGTCATTGATGTGTCCATGAGAAAAACATTGTAACCACTTGTATCAATTGTTGCGATACATACCCAAACATGCGGAAAAATTACCAAAAGATAAATTAAAACATGAGGAACCCAAATAAAATACTTAGAGCTTATGAAAAGGATCTTTGAGCACACCAAATTTGGATTTTGCACTAGGAAAGATGGGCAAAATTCTAGAAAAATCCAAAAAATTCCCGAGGGGGATTATATGATGTCTAAATGCATTAAATTATTTTTGTACTCACAAAACACAATATGCAACCGACATGAATGCAATAACCCCTCATATTAAATTGTAAAAAATTTATAAAATTTATTTATTCTCCATAAATTGTTAACATTTAAATAAATCTTAGGAGAATTTTAGAAAAATATTAGTGTCGTTTATTTTACTTAGGGTTTTCTATTCACAACCCAAATAGAATTTTTAGGGTGTGATATTGAACAAAGAAAATACAATCATCGTAGAGCTGACTAATGCTAATACCAAACCAACTGCTATTGAGCGTTGCAAAGAATGTTCAAATTGTAGTCCATCTTATCTTGGTCAAAAATATCAATAGATGAGCTTGTGATATTTTTTACCAATATAAGAAGACTACAATTTGACCATCTCAAGCCAAACCTAGTGAAATAAAAAATATAAGTAGTAAAGAAAGTTTAAAGCCTTTTGAAAAGAGTATAGTGCCTACATCTAGTTCTTCTACATTCGAAAACAACAGCAAAAACAGAACAAAAAAACTAAGATTAGTGTTTGAAAAGCCATCGAAGCTAAAGGCCAGAGCAAGCATCCAAACAAAAAGGTGAAATATAATTTTTTTGGCTAAGTGCCAATAACTAAAGAATACCTTAGATTCTAGTTTTTTCTCTCGAAAACGCAGGAGAACTACGCTTCATTATACTAAGAAGAAAAAAGGGGAAGAAACCCCGTACAACACACACTACACCACTCCAAATTACAAAGACTTACCGTAGATTCTAGTTAGCCTACCAATTCAAAGCAAGCCAATCATCTCTAAAAAAGCAATTTGGTAATCAGAATCCGTGATGGAATAATTCGCATACATCAACACCATATTATCCAAATGGATCATACATGTCATGCGTGCCTTATTTCAACATGTCTTATTTTTCTGCACTATGATATTCTTATAATCCTTGGACGTCGTCTCCTCCTAGTTATTTTATCTAGATGCCAGACAATTCAGAAGCCTTATAAATAATAACTATTTTCATCAAACAAATTGGTCAATGAATTAAAAGAAGTTCAAGGTGATTAGACAAGTCTGTTATGTCAAGAAAGATCAAATTTAAAGGAAAAATAGATTTGACACATGAAGAAAAGTTGATAATTGGGTAAATATTGGCTAGATCTATTAATCAAATTGTCCCCCAATGATGAGCACACTTCAAAAGAAACATATTTGAACAATAATCAAGGTTGGCTAGAGCGCAAAACAGAAGCAAGATCGTCAAAGCTGTAGAAACCACCTTGGCTGGTTTGAAAACTGGCTTAGCCAATTTTTCTAGAAAAGTTGACAAGAATAACAAATACAGGAACAAAGCGAGGCCAAGCTTTGAAGATCTTTTGACCAAGTACAAGAATAAAGAAGCTAACTAGGAGCAGAAGGATCATCCAAGCAAGAAGAATTTGAAACCATTGTCGATATATCGAGAGCATCTAGACCATAAATTACGAGGTATTCATGTTGCTGCCCCTTACCCTATTTCTAGACCGATTTCTCCGTGCACTTGGTCATATCCGTGCAATTACTCATCTTGGGCAACCATATCTTATTCAATATCCAATCTCATATTCAAACTCAACAATTATTGTTGTTTTTTTTCCAGCAGTGTCGAAAGTGAACCCGTCTTCCTTCCTCTTCTAGAGCTCCGAGTGGATCTAGCCGGCCCCCTCCCTCCCTCCTCTGGCGAGCTTGCCGGAGCCGGCTAGGTGGGGGCCCCCCTCCTAGTAGATAGTTTTTAGTACTTAGAGGTAGTTTCTAGTACCTAGAGTGACCCGGATGGGTAAGTCCTGTCTTGGAGATGCAGCCGCGCCGTTGTTGTCATAGTCTTCCTCGCCATCTTCCTTGGCTCCGACGACGTCGCCTCCAAGGTTAGTGGAAATAAAATAAACACGGTCTTCTACTATGCGGTTCTCCTCTTCTCCATCTCCGACTCCACCTCCACCTGCCATCACTGATATCTGCTTCCCTCCAATCCACAACCTTCGCCGCCCGCGTTCTTCGCTACATAGTAGCCTCCGGTTCTGGTGCCCCCTTCTTCAGCTAGGCAGCTCCCCTCCTGGTGTTGGTCTAACAGCTCCGCCTCCACATGGGATCCTGGTTCGAGCTTCTTCTTCAACCTCCGACGACGGCATCAACTGCATCCTTCGATCACCGGTGTGCTACTGCTCCGTCGGCTCAACCGACCCACCTTTAACCGACGCTTTGCGCGGTCAGTCCACCTAGGGGCAGGCGTCCACGATGCCCCTGCGGCCCCCCGCCGGCGGATTCGTCTTCTCCAACGCCATCGATGTTGCTGCCTTTGCTTTCATATGCAGGGTTTTGTTGTAATTTGGTCTTCTACGGAGGACCTCTCTGTAAGTTGGCTACTGTGATAACATAATATATGATTGTTGTAAAAAAACTCAACAATTATTGTTAACAATATTCTGTCAGTAATACACTCTCTAGTGATAAAGGCAGTGAGAAGGGCAACAAAGAAGTATCCAAAATATCTCTACAACCAAGGTGGTGTCCGTTGGATTTGTCTCACACAAGCGAGGAGATTGCAATGGACGCACACTATGGAATAAGTGAAGCAGCAAGTGTGGAAGTGATTCCAGCAAAACCTAACTACAAAAATCTATGAAGGTCTAAAAGCCAAAAAAATATCGTTTCTACTTCTACTTAAGTTTGACCAAGAATCTAAGACCAATAACATGATTATCTCACTTATACCAAAGGCCTATGAATTATTTTGAAACATCGCCCTTAGACTGTCCTGGTCTAGAAGATTGTTTTTTAAAACGCAAACTTTACTAAAAAAAACAGGGGGCATATGTTTGCACGTCAAATGGGCCAACTTGAGCTGATTCTGGGAAAAGCAGCTTAGTCGATTTTGGACTTTCTAAAATTGTAAATTAGACCTCACCATTATGTTCCTCTCTTCGAGACAATCGAAATCCATATATTGAAAGCCAAATTTAGAGTCTGGAGAGAAAATTATGTGGGAAGACCCACCCTATGGCTAAACCAATTTTGACAATCTCAAACCGAGTTAGAATTATTTTTTTCACACGGATTTTGTAGAGAGCTTAACTCCTTATAGGACAAGTCCACCTACCTTATAAATATAAAGGGCCATGCCCATTGATGGTATCCTATCGCATCTATTAATATTTTTTATCCTTTTTTGCCTTACTTTTCTAACTCCATCTGTTGTTCTTCGCTCGTCTCCATGGTGTGAAAAGTGCCTTTAGCTGGCCTGTTGAGCCTAAGGCACATCCGAGATGTGACCCCCTCTACGGGATCTCTCCCCAAATGCATTTCTTTTCGTGGTGGCCGAAACCGGCTAGGTGTTTTTTTTTTCCTTACTAAGTTACAAATTGATCTTTGAGCGATCTAGATATGCTAGTCCTTTGGTGTGTGGGACAAGTCTGCGTTAATAGGGTTATAACATGTGCTTCCTCTAGACGTAAAAAAACTCATGTTAAAACATGGGTTTTTAGTCCGGCAGTAGCTCACTCTTTCTATTGGGAGTGTTAAGAATTACCGGACCTAGGGGCGGATGTATGTAGGAATTAGTGGGTGCGGCGCACCCCAACAAAAACCAAAAAAATGGTGATTATAACTAACTTTTCATCATATTTGTATCCTCATAATAAAAACCTACGCACCTACGAGACAAGCGCACCCATCTCGAGTTTGGTCTAGCTCCGCCACTATCCTGACCAAAGAGAGTACAAATCATGCACATGCGCAAATCCGATTGAATTATGCACATATATCATGTCTTATAAAATTTTAGATTCCCACAATTACTCATACGGTCATACCATTTTTTTACGGACACATATACGTATCCAGACACACGTGTGTAAAGGAAACTCGTGTTGTTCGGAACCGTGTGCAGAAGGTGCACGTTGCAAACCTTTATTTGCCGTCGATGAGGCATGGTCCTTAGAGAAAACCGTAAAGAGTACGATCATGCAGCCCCGTCAATGAGTCACGGTCCCAAGACCTACGAGAAGATTTCTAGAGCACAAATTTTGAAGGTACGGCATTGCAGTTAGCAGTTAGCAGTTAGCACGGTGTGCGCACGCTTCGGTTTCCATGGCGTCTCTTCCGTTTTACCAGCTGAGAGATGAACCGGCCAACACATACCCACTCGCGCCACCTTTCCCGGATCAACTCCCTCCACTCTCCATTCCATGCACGTACCGCACCCAGTGCCCCCCGACTATCCATTCCTTGTCTCTCAGAGCCATGCCCGTGCCCATGCATAGCCTGTGTCGTAACTGCTCCATCGATCTTCGCCGCCGCACCTGCCCATCTCAGACAGAGTCTGCACTACCACTAGTGCTAAATCAACAGCAGTTATTAACAGTAGTGATAGGGTAGGCAGAGAGAGACCCCCTGGCCTGATCACCTTCCAGATCGAGCTCCCTCTTCCACGTTCCTCCAAATCCAATGGCAAGAGCGCACCCTACCTCCTCTACGTCCAAGCACCGGCCGATCGTCGTCATGGCCTCCTCCTCCCCGGCGCTCCTCCACGCCGCGTGGATCACGGCCGTCGTCGCCGTCTGCCTCGCACTGTGCACCATCCACTCCCGCAAGTCCTCGTCATCGTCATCGCGCCGGCGCCGGGGCTCGCGTGCCGCGTCGTCGTCCAACCACCGCTGCGGGTCCAGGGAGAGCAACGGCGCCGGCAGCGTTGGCACGGCCGCAACCACGCCGGCCAAGGTGTCCCCGACGCCGAGCGACACCGCCAAGGCCAGCAGGGGCTGACGTCGTTGGCCCCGTCACGGTGATCGACGTCGGGACGCACGGGCCCATCCGCCGGCGTTTCTGCCGCCGGACCCGCTCCCCCGCCGCGCCGGAGCCTGTCGTCGGCGAAGCACACCCGGTTCGCCGAGCGGGTCGGGAGGATACGGTCGATGCGCCGCGGCGGATCGGGGGAGGCCGCCGCCGCTGCCGCGGAGGACGACGTCTTCGTGGGGTGCCACCGCGGCGGCGAGGTCGGGGAGGAAGGCACGCTGTGGACCAAGACCATCATCCTTGGGGAGCGGTGCCACGTCCCGAGCAGCAGCGACGAGGAGGACGGCGTCGATAGGGTGACGGTCAAGAAGTGGAAGAGCTATCGGCGCCCAAGGCAGCCGCGGTCGGTGCCAGTCACCAGGAGCAACTCCTTCGCCGGCGTGGGAAGCGCCGCCGCACGCAGACCTACCAACTCACGCTTCTAGCTAGCTCCAAAACGGCGGGTCGACGACGGCAGCCCTGCTGATCCTTCCTTTACATGATGAACAGATGTGTATCCATCTGCATCTTCGATTACGCAATGCATGTCCATAGGCTGAATTCTTGATTTCCCTTTCAACGAATTCCTACGTATTTCTTCCTTGATTGTTGGTTCTTAGCAAGACCTATGGAGTACTCCCTCCGTCCACAGAAGAATGCAATTCTCGCTTTTTAAGAAGTCGTTATTTGAATTTTGACTGAATTTATATAAAAAAATACTAACATTCATGATATAAAATAATATCATTAGATTAGTTATAGAATATATTTTCATAATAAATTTATTTAGAGATATAAATATTAATACTATTTACTATAAATTTGGTCAAACTTATACTAGTTTGACCGATACGCTTTCCATAATTGCATTCTTTTACTAACCGAGGGAGTAGTTTACAGCAAAATATGTGGCCTTAAACCAAAACGAATTTCTTTGTTAAAGTTTAGTTTTGTTATGAGTCACACAGTACATGCATGCATGTATGCATATTTATCTTTTAATCTTATCCCTCCGTATACGTCTAGCTCCCGGACGTCCGGACGGGACTAGCGTCCGGATGACCCTGTGGGGGTCCGCGGGTCGCAGGGGGTTATCGCTAAATTGCCACTGTGAGGTCCACAGGAGCGCACTCAGCAACTCCTCTTCAGAATCTTTGCGTTGAGTTACACACACATACCTGATACAGGGCCGAACAACTCGATCGGTTACACACTTGAGTCTCCAACACATGGCTGAAACATCATTGACCATAAAATATATTCTAGACAAGAAACTACTATTAACATTAACTATCCATTTAACTACTGCCTTCAATCTAGGTTTACACCTCAATTCACTCTTTTACTCATCAGATTACACACATTTCATCTTGGAGAACACCCATTCCAAGGTCTGCTAACCGTTGCACTCGTCGGAGCTAGTCTCGGAGGAATGTCTTGCTACCTGCAAAACAACTTAACGGCTACACCGTGAGTACATTGCGTACTCGCAGGACTTAATTCCAATATATCATATTTGGTGGATGCAATGGGTATTATTAGGTATTTGTACGTTTGCAGAAAAGCAATGGCGATTATTAAAAGTATGACATGCTATGTTATATCATTAGAACGAAAGTATTCACATAGTAGATATATATGTCAAAGTACTCATGTTCCATCAAATACGCTATCATGGGTATAGAAAGTAGGAACAACCGAATGGTTCCGTCCCAAGGGACTTCAGGCTTTCAAACTATGTAGAGGTGTACAACTATATCCACACGGAGACCGGGACTAACCACCATACACCGGGTCCGGTAGTAAGGGTTGCCTCATGTTCTCCAACCTTTTCCTAATCCGGCCCAAATGTCCGGCAAAAGGTTCGTGGTGCCGGTCAATGTCCCGGATATTCCCCGACGCGCCACCCTTGCAGGTTTCACGGATAGACAGGTCGTAATTAGTTACTTGACTTGTCGACCCTATCCGTGACATGTGGTCTATACGGGTGGTTACTCGGACTTCACGTATCCCAATAATCGCCCTTAATCGCTTCCACGGGCCACGTGTTTGAGATCCCACACTCACACGACCTACCCTCGCATGAGAGCGAAGTTATCAAGTGGTGTCCAAGTTTATAACTTTTAGTGATATTATTCCTTAGCAGATTAGTGAAGTAAGTCGATCAAGTTGTACCCCATTAGTTTTAGTGAGTAATTATCCAAGTGTAGCATCCTACACGCACGAGAATGAGTTTCCTTCTCATGCTCGACTTCTACCATTGCTAAACAACTAAGTAATAAGCAATTAAGTGTTTCCATTCCCATTGTTTAGATGAAAGGCTTCTAACAGATTAAAGAGTGACTCTAAGTGTAGAGTGAACAAGTTTATTAACCAAAACTACATGTAATACATAACTCCTAATGAAACTCGATAAGTATTCAAAATAGGGTTTATAGTAGTGGGGTGCCTGCCTAATTTGCTGCCATTCTAACTCTCGCAGCTGATGAGGATGACTTGTACCAGTACACGATCTTTACTCGAGGCGTTCCTGAAAGAATAGGGGAGACGCGACTTAGGAGATACATCGACGATCCGAGATAATGAGAAAGGACATGGGTGCATAGGTCAGCACTGGGAACTTGGGAAGGGGCATCTATTGTTACGCTATTTGGTAAAGGGTCTAAACTAGTGTTGATATTTATTAACTTGTCACTTGTTTTAGTAGCCACCTAATGTATATCTACATATTTTAACATTACTTTACTAGGTTGTCATCTCTAGTGATGATGTCAGAGATGCTTGTTGGTACTACTTAGCATTACTACAAGAATAATACTATGTAGCTCTTTATTTTTTTATGTGACTATGAAAAATATATAGATATGAATAAAAGGGATCTGCAAGCGCACAGATAATATATTATTGTAGCACTTCACCCGGGAGTATTCTATGTATCGTTATTTATATTTTTACCACAGAGAAGGTCTGGCAAAGACATGTATTGATAACTTATGCTATTGATGGAGAAGTAAACTATAACCAATATTCTACTCACAACAGGGGCAAGTCAAGAGATAAATGTATATATGAATGGTGCATAATAACACTCCAAGAAACTTGTTAATCCGTGACAGATTCTCTAGTGACGAATTTACAAACCGTCACTAACAGACACAATCCGTGACGATAATCTTTTTTCGTCATGGATGTGCACCAATGGATATTCCCAACCCGCTAACTCGTGACGATTTTATCCGGATCCTCACAGTATATGATTTTAAATTTGTCATACTCTAGTTAGCCCAAAGCAATAGGTCCGCTATCAATATTTAGTGCAAAGAAAAATAGAAAATGTGATTGCAAAAGAATCAAACACAAAAGACGATTTGTTAAGTTATTTAAACTACATCATCTTGTTACTTTGTTGCATGTATATGGTGCATATGGCAAAACTAAAAATATTTTGCATATCTATAGTGCGGATGGAAAAAAAATTGCAACACATTGGAATTGAACCCAACAACTGCAACAAAACTAGCAACATGCCTTACCATTTTTTTTTCTGAAACTGTCGGCCTGCTGGTGTGTGCCCAACTGCCCACGGCTGTAAGTAAACAGAAAAAAAAATAGCTCGGCTGATGTAATTCGAACCGTGCACCTGGTGGTTGAGAACAACCAGACTTAGCCCTTGTTTAGTTGGACCCCAAAATCCAAAAAATTGCTACAGTACCTGTCATATCGAATGTTTGCGGTCCGTGCATGGAGCATTAAATGTAGACGAAAAGAAAAACTAATTACACAGTTTGGTGGGAAATTGTGAGACGAACGTTTTAAGCCTAATTAGTCAATGTTTAGACACTATTTGTCAAATAAAAACGAAGATGCTACAGTAGCCCCAAAATCCAAATTTCACGAACTAAACAAGGGCGTAGGAGCAAGTAAAATAACAAAAGTTATGCTGGAGGTCGGGTTCGAACTCAGGACCTTGAAACAGAGAAAAACAAAGCTAACCACCGCAGCTGCAAGGACTTCATGTCTAAATTAGTTCCTTTACTCATTTAGGCCTACTTTGGCAACATGATTCCACGCGGGGATCCTAGTGTTTTCCACGGGCCAGAAAAACCGCGGGGCAGCCTCCCTGGGTCATTTTACGGTGCTCTTTGGTAGCACAACGGGCGTGGATTCGAAGTCCGCTTCCACCCGATTTTCACGGGGTAAGGAGCCCGGACTGATGACATCGGGCGTCGATCCCCGTCTCGCATCCCTCGCTCAGGCAGCTGCTTCCCCGTTCCGCTCGAGGCAAGGCTCGCAAGTCGCCGCCACCTCGACCTGGCATGTGCCGTCGCTGCCACCTCGATTTTCGTCCTAGCCTCGGTTGCCTCCTCCATCCTCGCCTCCGTCGTGTCCTCTGTCCTCGCCTCGGTCGCCTCAACGCCTCCGCCGCCGGTTGCCTCGATTGCCCCCGCCGTCGATCGTCCGCCTGCCCTGACTAGACCCAAGAAGGTACTCATTCCCCTCCTAGCTCTCGTCAGATACTACTACACTCGATTTCTTGATCGATCTGAAAGGAACTAGTGCTTACTGCAAGATCTAGGTGTTCTCTGCCTTCCCTACATGAACTTTGTGTCTAACTTGATCTAGGAGTTGTACGGGCTTTGCACTGTTTGACAAATTGCAGTAGAAAATCACAAGCACTAGTGTAATCACTATGATGCATGGATTGAACTATCATAAATTGAAGTATTTTCTTTTGGAACAAAACTAGACCTACCCATCTGTCTGTGTATTAGCAGTTTCTATTATCAGTGCCATCTGACTATTAATTAAGTGGAAAACTATATTTTTTAAGCATTATGGCCTTGGTGTTTGTTTCTATATAGTTAATGGTGATTTCATTACTGTCCTGTTTCTTACGCTGACTAGTAAATTACTATAGGTTAGGTATGTGTCTTCCCTATGTTAATCAGCACTAGATTAGTTTGCTACTCCAGTACTCATCGGTGATTATTTTGTCTGATGTATGGGAGCATGCAGCTAGTTATGTATTTGGATGAAGACAAGTAGCATTGAGCATGTAACTAGTTATGTATTTCATTTATCTTAGCATTGAGCATGTAGCTAGTTATGTATTTGGATGAAGACAAGTAGCTTTGACCATGCAGCCAGTTTTTTATCTGCTAGCTGCTCATCAAAGCAGTGGTATTCGATCTTGTTGCCATGAGTTATTTACATGATTACTTGTCCTTTTGGTGGCTGCAGTAGTTGTTTTAATTCAATCTTCTTGTCACGTACCTAGTTATTTACATTTTTTTTTGTTTTGTTACTTGCAGGATGCTTGCTGGTATCACTGCAATCTGATGGTTGGGGTTCATTCGTGCTATTCAGAGACAAGGTATGTTACAACTTTTACTAAGTACATTTTCTAAGTATGATAGCTGCAATGGTTGGGGCCTATTATACTGTA